CACAATTGTTGGGCGACTTGAGCAGCTAAGTTAGCCTCAGGAAACATTATGAACTTTATGCAAAATAGAGCCTTTCCAGTCAAAAGCACTCATTACTGAGACCAATCCATGTTTTTACCCCTGTCTTTACTGTAACAGTTACAACTTTACAGTCATTGACTCATCTTTTATAAATGACTCCAAATAAATGTTTTGTGCTCATTTAATTTTTTTTTTACTAGTACAGCTGCAGAATCATAATTTAACATGTTTTCATGAGCTGTCACTGGCTGAAAAACCTGTTCTTTTGGTGTCATCTCAACCACAGTGTAGTAGATTAAAGAGAGACTCCAGTTTACATAACCTGTGTACCACCCAGTACTGAGACATTAAAACAACAGAAAAAAGACTTTGTTTTAATTTGCATACTATAGTAAAGTTTTGGTTGTTTAACGTTTTGTCGAGGCATAAACTGGTTGTAGCGTTGGATGTCAGTGAAAGAGGAAGGGTTGACAAACAGCAGGAGACAAGTAGCTGCTGCACGTGGCCAACTAGATCCTTTGTGGGTTGATGACTAAAGCATAAAACATGCAATCAATCACTGATAATTATCACACAATCTATCTCATTACTTACCTTCAATGTAAGCATTAAAGGCACAGCAACATATGGGCAGTGAAAAGAAAATGCAAGAATAGAAATAAAACATAAAGGTAAATTATGTTGTTCCCTTAAAAAATAAAGGTAAATTATTTCACAGTTAACGAGCTAGCTAATCATTTATGTTGTGAACTTTCAATTTGCAACGCCTAACTATATTTTGAACATTGTTTTGGCCCTAAAATTTGATATCTTATTGTTAGTTAATTTGCAGTCATTAGCTATAATTTTGACACTTGAAAACTTATTTTTCTTACAAAAACATAAAGCCTTAAGCCTTAACATAAAGCCTTGCAAACAAAAACCTGTAGTAAAGTAAAGTTTAAAAGAAAATAAGTGCATTGCATATGATGTTGCAGCAAAACCAACACCTCTCTTCATCCATGTGGACAATCACAATGCTCTGACTGGAGTGGGTGTGGTGAACAAGACTGGACTGGCCACTTTACTGTAGCTGTTGTAAAACCTCAGGTTTTTCCTGACACACACACACACACACACACACATATATTACCTCAATTTGTAGTACTTTTTTGTACTTCTCATCAAAACTTTCCTGAAACTCCACACCAGTTATCAATTGTCACTTCTGGCAATTGGTGAACTCACAGACCCTTTTACTTGGACATGTTTTACTAGAACACGTCAACTGCAGAGAAACAATTAAATTGAATTTACTTGGAGTGATATTTTTTATTTAATGTTGGTTTGTTTTTCGGATGATTAAATAGGAGACATGTAAATCCTCTGTGACTGTTTGTCCTGCTGCCTTTCTCTCTAGAACTCTGCCGGTACGACTGCAATGGGCCACTGGGGTGAAAAGACCAGTCAGCAGCTGGTCAGCAAATCACATTTCAAAGCTGTTAAATGATTTGCCTCGTAAGCAAGAAGGGCTCGGGGGGCCTTCATGGACCTGGTTTGTGGCAGTGGACAGAAGTTGAGGGACTGTGTTTTATTTACAGTGTAGATATAGATACAGTATATATAAAGATATAAATTGAAAATTAATTTACATACTAATACTGTATACACATACAGTACATGCAGAGACGTATAAGACGTATACATGTACATATTAATTTAGTTAAACAAGAAGAAGTCTGAATATACATGTAATAGTCATTGCCTCAAAAGACACGAAAATGATCTCTCTTTTTTTTATCGTAAATTAAAATAAACCCCATCTTCAGCTGTGTGGGTTATTTGTCAGTGTCAGGCTCTCCCTAGTGGCGGGTTAGGACAAACACACTTCACACGCTGAGCGCTGATAAAAACGTTGGTCAGTATTTGAAAAGTAATAAGATAAGGAGAGAGCCACATCTTTTTTAATAAAATGGGAGATTTTGCTGATTATTCTGTTAATGTCTAAGCTTATACTCACCTTGAACATACATAAACCGGTTGTTGAAATATCTTTACAAGTATCATAAAGACAAAACGAACAATTGCCCACACGATGTCTGGTTACAAACCATGTAGCGGTGGGTGAAACTGTCAGGGAAGTCCTCATGATAATTTAAAATGGCTCAATTTCGATTTTCTAAAATATTTTGACGTTTTTGAAGGAACTCTATAAATATTGTTGAAGAAATGCTCCTGGCCTTTAGTGGCCAACAGGTGTCACTACTTGTGGCTTTCACACGCTACAGTAGGCGCTCCTACTGGGTTTCCGATCTACTTCTTCTTAATCAAGAGGTGATATCAGAATGTGAGGATTAACTTATAATTAAACTGTACCTCCAGGACCATAATCTATGAATCCTCGTTTATGAGGACATTGCTACCTACCGTTATCTTATACCCACCGTCTTTTGAAGCTTTGACAAAGTTCTCAATACTTCATCAAATAAATTACAGCGTGGAACTCAAAGTTCAAGAACACCAGACCAGCACTGGAACTGCTGTGTCAAAGTTCCAGATGTGAGAGTGCAGCCGGGGACAAATGTGTCAAACACACTCCCCTTAGAAGAAATGGGCGGTGTCTCCTGGCTTAGAAAAATAAAGGCAAACAACTGACCCTGCCCTGATACTTCCCCTCTGCCTTCTTGTCGGAATCCTCATCTCTCAGTTTAATCTCTCTGTCTTCGTAAGATAGTCAACTCAAACATGGCTTTAAGTGGAAAAATTGCAGTCGTGACAGGAGCAGCCATGGGCATAGGAAAGGCAATAACGGAGAAACTTCTTCAAAACAGTGCTAAGGTAACTTTTTTTTTCCAGAGTAACACGCAATGACACATAATACCACAACTTCTTGGTTTTCTCTCTTCTTTCTATTTAGACATTCACATCTATAATACTATGACAATGAACTTTATTCTCTGGTGTAAAATATGAAAATAAGACGCAACAGGAAATGTTACTTTTGTGTTACTGTTGACTCACCCTTGAGTCCTATTGTTCTGCAACACCTGAAAAACCTGCTCCTGGAAGTTATTTCACTCATTTTCTTTCTTTTTGTCTGATGTTGATAGCATACTCACATTAGCTTGTTTTCCTTTTACAGAGGGTCAATGCATGTCCTCTACCCACCAGGGGTTGTTGTAGGTTACAGAACCTTTATTTTGTCGGATTAATTTTCATCTCCATCAAGTTAATAACATACCCATAAAACATACAGGAAGGCATATTATAGAAGACAAGATAAGTCTGTCTGGCATTTCCATTTGAATTTTTCTCTATTATACACACGAGCAGGGCCACACCAAGCCAAACATGGGCCCTAAGCAAGATTTTCTTACCTACCCCCTACTTCATACTTTCATTTTATCATTTTTTATACAATTCTCAGGACTCTCAGATTGTCTAATACCTCTGCAACCTCTGACTGTTGATTGGTCAGATGTGAACTGTTGAAAACATCATGCGTCATGCGTCTCATATTGCGAAGCTCTGAGCTGCATCAGTTATGCAATTTGCACATATGGCTCAAACTGGAGTTCATTCTGCATAAACAGTGCATTCTGTGTATAGGGAGGGGGAGGGGCGGCCCTACACAAAAGTCTGTCTTTGGTATGAAACAAATATTGTGAAATGCATAACCTCATTTATATCAGATGAAAGTAGCTTAAATATACGTTAAACCTCATAAAATAGTACTTTAGTCAAGTGGAGCAAAAGTTATGATAACTTTGTAACAACTGTAAACTGAGTGTGGCTTATCTGTGCAGGTTGCTCTCTTGGACATAAATGAAGATGCAGCCACTTCTTTTATGGAAGCCCTTCAAAAAAAATATGGACCAAAAAACACATTGTTCCAGAAGTGTAACGTTGAATCAGAGGAGGAGGTGAAAGGTAACACAACCAAACGACTGGACAGCTACAGTATACACTGCACCAGACAGTTGTTTGAATAAAAGTCTGTGGTCATTTATTTTATGATGGGAAAAACCAATCTTTAGGTCAATACAAAATACACAAGAAAAAGACAAAATCAATTAAATCTAGTCAATAAATATTTGAAATATTCAGCCATCTTTAACATATAGTATTGGGCACTGAGTATTGTTCATAGAAAGAGAAAAAAGAATAAATCAAATTTAATTACCAAAATCTGACCGTTTGAAATTATAGCTTTTTTTCTTTCTCTTATGCAATACTTTTCTTTTCTTAAGCTGCCTTTAAAAAAACAGTGGAAACCTTCGGTGGTATTGACATCCTGTGCAACAACGCTGGTATCCTAAATGAGAGCACATGGGAGAAAATGGTCTCCATTAACCTTGTAAGTAAAGGAAAGAAGAAGTTTAATCCATGTGTTTTGGTCACATTAACTGCAATATGCAGATGTGGAGACTTCCTGGGAGTGGTTGGTAAGTACATGAGGGTGGTGCAGGAAGGTAGCAGTGATGTGTGTAGTCAGAGGTTATACTGTAGGGTCAAGTGCAGGTGCACAGCTTCTAGCAAAACTCTTTGTTTGCAATGATGATAGACAAATAATTAGGCTGCAAGTTCAGTAGAGAACTCTTAAAAAACTAGCTGGAGGGGTCTTGGCAGAATGTTTCATTAGGAGGGTCCAGGATTGACAGGACTAAATGAGAGGATGTAAGGAGCAGGCAAGGAGTTGGTGTGAGTGGAAGAGTATTTGCTAAAAATCTTGAATAGTGTCACTAAAACCAATTTTTAATTACCACACCAATACTACAATTTATTGACTGCAGTTCATAACAGATATGACATTTGTACTCCGTTTCTAAAGGTCTCTGTAATTAGGGTCACTTACCTGGCACTGGAGCACATGAACAAACTGGCAGGAGGTCGAGGAGGTGTCATCGTTAACACATCATCACTGGCAGGTAACTTGTTGATTTCTCTGTTCTGTACCGTGCATTTGGTTATTACTGCTGTCCCAGCAGTTTTTCCACCACAGAATGTGATACATATTTACAGAAGTCCCCAAGCTGAGGTAGTCAACCAGGGGCTGTGGTGGCTTAGTGATTAAGGAAGGGGACTTTGGTCCACAAGGCTTCAAGTTTGAGTCCACCTGCTGCCAAGTTACCATTGAGGTGCTGTGAGCGTGGCACCGTCCCCACTCACTGCTCCCTGGGCAGCTTAAAGCTGCCAACTGTTCACTTTAGTGATGAATTGAAAGCAGAGGTCACAATTTGTTGTGTGCAGTGGTGTGGGTCACAATGACAAGTAGTTCACTTTCCTTTCTTTCCATTTAACATACATAATGGACATAATCCATATTTTACAGGTCTTGGTCCATTGCCGAGCTGTCCTGCTTATACAGCCACCAAGCATGGAGTTATCGGCTTCACACGAGCCACGGCGGTAGGTTCAGAAGATTTGACATTAAACTTGTGGCATGAACAAAATGAACAGGCTACAAACAATAACTAATGTGGTTAGTTGACAGGCAGGAGCTAATGTCCCTGTTAGTGTTAAGGGTTATAATTTTAAACACATTTTCATGTTTTTTTCTTCTCTGCAATAGAGTGCTTTTGAATTATCAGGCTATGGCATACGGGTGAACGCAATATGTCCAGCATTTGTGCAAACTGATCTCTTCACCAATATCCCAGAAAGACTGGGACAATTATCTCACCTGCAAGAGGTTTCCCAACATATTGTAAATCAGTATGGGGTAATGGAGTGAGTAATCCTTCTTTGACATTCACACTTTGGCCTTTTACACATTTTATTCAATATTATGCATGTCGTTGGTCATTCGTAAATGTCACTATACCTTTTTGTTTCAGTGTGTCCAAGGTAGCCGATGACTTCTATGAGATGCTAACAGATGAGACCAAGAATGGAGAGGCCCTTATGATCACAGGAAAAGAGAGGATATATATTCCTTTCCCACAAATGTCAACCTTTTTTGAAAGTGGTTAACAACAAAGTTATTATGACTTTGTTCAGTTGTAAGTCTGACTTTGTGATTGTGTTGTAAGCGATGGATTAAAAATCACGTCACATGCAATGTTCCGTCTAATTTTTCATGTGTCTGGGCATACACACACTGAGGACCACTGTGAGTAACATAAAAAGTACAATCTGTGGCCACACACTGGTATCACACTTGTTCAAAACCTAGATCCTATTAAGTTAAATGGATTATTAAAAGAAATAAATTAAAGCAGCAATTTCCATTCCTAATATGGAATTCCTAATATAAGTAGTTTAGCCCACTTAAAATGTTGTTGTTCATCAGATCACCTGGCATAACACGTTGTAAACATTAAAACACATTCACATTTTGCACTTAATGTGCGCTGGAGCTTGTGATACAGTGTGAATTCCTCTAACCCATTGTCTGCAAAGATATAATTACAGTAGTATGAATGCTAACAGTTTTATAAGCATTCATACCACCCATAAATTATCTGGTAGTAACTGCATTTAATTATAAATAAATAATAAATAAATGAAAAATTTAAAGAAATGTCACTAGAAAATGTACAAAAACACTTCTTCTGTTTGCACATACTCTGATAGCCATTCCATCTTAAAAGAACTGCATTTCTTAGTTACTTTGACATGGTGAATGGATGGATGTGTCACTGCCCGATCGTTTCGCCATGATAAAGGGTTAGCATTTACGTCTTTTGATTCTGCTGCAGCGTTGTTACCTAGCTAACCTGCAGGGAGGGAACATTGGTGGTCACTATAACACAATTTTTACTATTCATGATTTTTTTTGTCCCTGTTGTGGTTCAGGCATTGAAAATAATATGCAAAACACCACGTGGAGGAATAGGTGTAATAAAAACACAGAACAATACTAATAAAAACACTAAAATCCTTTTTAAAAAATGATTTCTATTAGCCACAAAAGCTTCAATTTCCTTAGTGCTATCTGCATACTCTCCAAACATTTTTGATAATTCAAATTTAAAGATTTTCCCAAACAGCTTTAATTTGAGTCATACAAAAGACACGTGATAGGCAGGTTCTAGGTACTCAGAGCTTATAGTGCCGCACCTGTTCAGAGAGTCTGATTGCAGCTTAAATGAAATTGTGAGTCGTAACGCTTTCATAAAACATCCTACGTCGATCAGCGACAATTAAAAATATAAATTTGTCTCCACGACGTGGTGTTCTGCCTCTGTCGCTGTCGAACGCTGAGAAGGTGCTAAAGGGTTAAAGATCAGCTCAGCCGTCACTCTGCGGCCAGCGCTGCTGTTGCTGTCTCTGCCTCTCATACAGACATTTGCATTCGCTGTGGATTGTGGGAGTTGAGGACACTACCCAGGCTTGATACCGGAGGACCGGAGACATATTTTCCCGCTCTGTAAGTACGTCAAACCGTCGCAGCGCCTCGAACTCGGCCGCTCTCGTATGCTGCTGCCGCGCTCTGCAAAACGAAGCGAACCGCTTTCGTTGCCATTTCATGCTTTTCTGTTGCGGTGGTAGAAAATAGGAGGAGGAGGCCGAGAGGAGAGCTGACAACAGCGACAGCAGCAGGAGGAGGAGCGGACTGCTGCCTTTCACTGCACGGCTCTTATGTAGAACCGAAAGCGCGTTGACCTCAACCGGGAAATGTTCCGAGGTCGAATGACGGCAGTCGAATTATGTGTTCGCCTGACGTTTGCGTCAGCGACGCGGCGTCCGTTCGGATTCGGAAACCGCTAACAGCTCAAACACACGTCGGCTGAGTGTGGAGGTGAAAGCACCTTCACCTGCCCACAACTCTGCAAACAAACCTGCTGCACATACAAGACAAACCTCTGTTTACGTAATATAACGTTGGATTTTAGCGTGATGAATATGACGAAGCATTAGAGCTGCTACAAGAGACAGTTGGCTTGTGGCCGGGGCTAATTGATTTTCAGTACCATTGACAGCTAATTGGCGCCTGCCACTGGTGCAATAATATGAAATCCATTACAGTCATTTAAAATGACATAAAATAATCGAGGAAATCTATTCCAAGTCAGATTTATTTATTTTCAGCTGAGCCTCTACCATCACAACCCTCTACAGGCATATATTAAATTATTGATCATTCCCAGAAGCATAAGGGAAAAATATGTTTTGGGAAAATACTGTTCACCAGTCATGTCCCTGTTAATACATCAGTGTGTTTGGACGAACCGATCCTCATATGTCAGGTCAGTGTTCATTCAAATCTTTCCAGCAATACATTTTATTTCTGACAACACACATTTATTACTAGATTTTCAACATAATTATCAATTATTATTATTAAATATTATTATTCCAAAACCCCTTGGATATTAACATAGTCACTTACAAAACTTAAAAAAGAATGGTCATAAGACAAATTCTCTTTCCAAAAATAGTCTTAAAAGACGAAGAAATAAATAATACAAATTCCATCAATTGCATAAATACCACACAATGTGCTTTTAAATATGCTCAGATGATTGTTATAAATGCAGTACAACAATAATGGTGGATTAAATAAATAAAACTGCTGACATAAGTCAAAAATGTCTTAAGTCCTTATTTATTAATTGTCACTTTTGGGAAGGTTGTTTTCAGAAATCAATCCGTGTGCATCTCAGTAAATATCATGACTGTTAGGATGACTTCATCTATGAGTGAAAGAACCCTTTTGCGTCCATGTGATTGTTGAATGACACACAGTAAGGCATCTCAAAGCAATAAGAAAATTGTTTAGTGTTGCTTTGTACTTGGAAAGATATTTTGAGTACATTGAGAGGCACAAGTTCTTACTTAAAAACACTGTGGTTGTAGTTATTGGACAGCAGTTCTGTGACTTGATGTTATGGTTCTTTATATTGACACTATCTGATGGCTCATTGTTGATGTTTAATCCAGAAGATCACTACACTGGTAGAGTCTCAGCACCATGTCTAGCCGAGGAGGAAAGAAAAAGACGACCAAGACGTCCCGGTCTACTAAGGCAGGGGTTATCTTTCCTGTAGGTCGTATGCTGCGTTACATTAAGAGGGGCCTCCCGAAGTATCGCATAGGTGTGGGAGCTCCTGTGTACCTGGCAGCTGTCCTGGAGTATCTCACTGGTGAGTTTCATTTACGCTTAATAATATCGAGTGTGTTTGGAGACGTGAAGCTGAGTACAACAACTAACTTTGTCATGGTTTATTATGGCATTATGTGTCGTAGTATTTCTTATGGTTTTTTTTTTTAAACTGTGGGAAAGTGTGAGGTTCTCAGTGTTCACAGATAAACACATCAGGTGTTTTGTTGTTCTCTGTGTAGCTGAGATCCTGGAGTTGGCAGGAAATGCAGCTAGAGACAACAAGAAAGGTCGTGTCACTCCTCGTCACATCCTGCTCGCCATCGCCAATGATGAGGAGCTGAACCAGGTCAGTTATAAAACAACTAACACAAAGGTAGTTGGATTCACTTTATGACTGGTGTGAGGCAATCGCTCATTTAAATATGTATTAGTTGATTGATTGATTTGTTTTACCGTCTGGTCGTCTCTCAGCTGCTTAAAGGGGTGACCATAGCAGCAGGAGGTGTGTTGCCCAACATCCATCCAGAGCTCCTGGCCAAGAAGAGAGGAGCTAAAGGCAAGCTGGAGTCCCCCGTGTCCCCTGCCCCTGAAAAGAAACCCAAGCCAGTCAAGAAATCAGCAGCAAAAAAACTGAGTGGGAGGAAGGGAAGAGGGAAGGCAAAGGTAAGACAGCACAGTGATAGACAGTGAACAGTGGACAATCTGTGACCTCTGAACATAGATAGTCTTGGAATCCTGATAGATCTGGACACAGGTCGTCCAGTTATTGACCTAAGAGAATTCTGTGTTACCCAGATCTGGTTAAATTGATTGTCCATCATATTTATTTAAACCAGGTAGAAAAAGGATGAACTATTGCCTTTTATTGAGGTCAAAATAATATTGACTATTTACGTTTTTGGTAATAACCAAATATTTTAGCATTTTCATTGCACCATCTAAGAATCTACGAAGATTATTGTTAAGAGATTGGACTTTGGGAAATGGAAATGATAACAGATTTACCCCTGTTTTTTGAGTGATTACTCGCTGTGATAATTAACTGTAAAGGTCTGTTATGGTCTCTCATTATATGTTTTATATTCTAACAGTTCAAGAAATATATTCACCTTCACTGTAAAGGTGTGGCTAAGTAGGCATGAGTCAACTATCTTAGGCAGTGGAGAGTCCTGAGCTGGTATGGAAATGTGGATGTACTGTGTAATTTAGCATTACCTTTGACTAATGTAAAAATCCATATTTCTACAGAAACAAGGTGAAGTGAGCAAAGCAGCGTCAGCAGACAGCACCACAGAAGGGTCTCCGGGAGACAGCTTCACAGTGCTCTCCACCAAAAGCCTCTTCCTGGGTCAAAAGGTCAGTTTTTCTGTCGACTTTGAAATCTGCCATTTTCTGATAAGCCCATTTGATTACGATTATTTTATCAATAAATTGATTTAATAACACAGTCTATGTATGATCCATTTTCTGTATAAAAAATGAAAATATAAATATATTATAAATATGTAATATTTACATTGTAGTATGTTACATTTCTATAAATTGTATATATATTTATGCATAAATATATAAAAGTTACATTCGTATTCTAAAAATGCCAAACCCGACATAAATAATCTGTAGCTTCATTACGTGGTTTATTCACAATAATATAAAAACAAATTAACTTCACTCATGCCTTAGTCTTTTATTCATATATTATTAAAAATGCATGCACTAGTCAACATGCCAGCCTGGAACAGTTGTACTGAATTATGAAGTAACTCTCGCCACATATTCTGACCGTCCATGTTCATTAAAGCTACCATAGCATTCAGTCTTTTTTTTTTAAAGTTATTACACATATGAACAATGATTTGGTTTTCCTCACCCTCGTCTGTTCAGTTCAAACCGTGTGTGTAACTGAGTTTACCGCTGAGCACATTTGTCTGCTGTCATTAACCAGCTGTTTGCTAATGACAAATCTGTATTCAGTGCCTTATTGTTGAACTAATCACAGGTTACAGCAGCTGCTACAGTCAATAGAAGACAGTAACGACATCAAAAACGCATTAAACCTAATACTGGGTTACATAACAAAGCAGCGAATGTTAGAAGACAATCTATTTCTGTTTGTGAATTCAATTATTGTAACTCTGCTCTTCTCACTGGTGCATTTCCCCTGATGCTTTACTCAGAGACACTCTTAGTCGCACACTTTTCTGCTCTAACTCTTCTTTGTGATTAATGAAGGATAATTAAGCTGTGCCGTGTGGAAACCAGATGGCTATGACTATCTAATCATCACGGATCTTTTTTTTTTAAATTCATGCACTGATGTGATCTAGAGTTTAAAAAAAATACAGGGATACCTTGATATTTTGACTATTCACATTGAACATAATAACTCTTTAACAAATTGTTGCCTAGAGAGGGTTAGGCTAAACTACTGTATCTGCCCTAGTACTACACTACACTACTGGGATAGTTCTACTACTCGGCCAGTTCTTTCACAACAGTACTTTTATTTGAAGTTCCTTTAAAAAAAAAAGAAGATATTTTTATTCTATTTATTTTGAAACATTTTGTGTCTACTAACGTTTTTATTGGTGCAACTGCTGACTCTACCTTTGTAAACTATAAATGTCAGCTGCATAAATGTTTTATAAAGTTGCTACAGGGCTTGAACAAAAATCCTTGGCACCAAATCATTTAAATTGAACAAACAAAGAAGCCAAGGCAGAGAGAAGTTTATTGCAGATATATATTGTATATATATATATATATTGAAACAGTTTTTGATATATTACATTAGTTCCTCTTATCAAGAATAATAAATAAATAATAAATAAATTTTACTTACGTTACGTTCCTGTAGTTTCTGTTTCTGGGCTGCAACGACAACATTTCAGTCCATATCCAGAGGTGACCAAGGTCTTCTGCAGTGCATTAAATGAACCTGAATAATACAAGGGGAGGAGAAAATACATTTTATACATTGTAGAAGGAAGACAAATCTGTTTGTACTCAGTGGCTCATGTTCTGATGAATCATTAATGCATCATTGATAAACACAGCAGTACACTTCCATATTTAAAATGCGTGAAGTGAAATCAAGTGCATTGGCTCCACATGTCTATCCCGTCAAAAGGTCATGGTATCCCACTAACATCTTATGTGTGAAACTGGTTTTAATGGCTTTGCTTCCTCTTCCTCCTTCCTCCTCCCTCCTCGCGCTACCCCCCTCCTGCTGGCATGCCCCTCGTTCGCCCCTCCCTCGACTTCCTGATCTGCAGCTCAATCTTATCCACAGTGAGGTCAGCAACTTGGCTGGCTTTGACGTGGAGGGGGTCATCAACCCCACCAATGCTGAACTTGAACTTAAAGATGATCTAGGTGAGATCCCAAGCCCCGCCCCCACCCTCCCATCCCTGTCTGGTTCTAGTGGGGTGTCTATGTTAAAAATCCTTGAATTAAGAATAACTTTAATAGATTTAATAATCTTTAGTGAGTTCAAAATGATACGTCAAGGATTTGTTTATTGTAGAAAACCTGGTTGTTGAGTTTTGAGGCTTACTGTCAGGATTCAGGATCAACATTCAGAGATTTATAAATGTACACACCTGGTCCCACCAGGATCTTTTTGTTCTAGGAACCATTTCATGGTTCTAATGCACAACAACAGTGAAAGCCACCAGAACCCTGCAATTAACGTCTGGTGAAGATGCAAATCACACTAATGCAAATTAGTCTTTGGAGTGTGATTAATGCAGTTGCTCACATCTGTTCAGCATCCCTGCCACAGATTTCTTGGATGATAAACAGAGGGACACAAAACTGTTTACTGTTTGACAATTTAACCAAAAATAACTTTGTTCTGCTGCCTTGAGTTGTCAAAAATGGCAGGTGAATCAGGAAGATGTTCTCTGTACACTTTCTATTTTTTGATGGTACTGTTTCCTGTAAGTTAAATGTAAGGAGTAAATTTGTAGAGAAATCATATTCAAGGATTTTTGATCAGCGCTCCACACAGCTGTGGTTCTGCTCGCTCTCACCATCGTGTTGACGTTTCAATGATCAATCCAGGATGCACTGCTTTCACACGACTGCCTGAGAATTAAGACATTAAGACTGAATTAGTATCGTTTTCAAATCGTTGTTGATGTTAAATTGACAAATACATTACTGGACATATATTTTGACAGACATTGACTGGTGTGTGTGAGCTTTTTCACCTGGATTGTGATCAGTAAACTTCTGCTCAGCATTTATGAATTTATCAGGATGGGTCATTTGGTCAGAATGTTGGTTTATCGTCATGAACAATCTTCAACACCTGTAAAAAAAAAAAGTTAGATCTGACTGAATGTTCCGTCCTGTTTCCTTATTTCTACAACATGACTCACTGTGACCACGGTCCTTGTTTCCTGTGACGTCCTCAGAAGATAAAGAGCACGCTCACTTCTCTCTCTCTCTCTCCCTCTTCTTTTTTCCCCTCTCTGTCATTCTCCTCTTCTCACCCGTGGTCCCATCCTGTTGACTTCTCACTGTATTTTTACCATTGTGCTGTTTGCCTGTTGTTTGTCGTCGTTGTCACTTGTAGTTGCAAGTTGTCCAAGCCGACATTTCCATCGTGGAGAGCGACGCTGTCGTTCATCCGACCAACTCCTCCCTCTATACAGGTGGTCAAGTAGGTAAAGGAACTATTGACACCACCCGGCCCATGGCTGCCTGTCTGCCCCTACCTCTCTCTCTGTCTCTCTCTCTCTCTCTCTCACACTGCTCAACTCTAAAAAGTGAATGAACCTGTAAAGCAGCCAGTTCACAGCTCAGCTACTGCCATCTGTGTGACTGTACAAATGTTATATATGTGATCAATGACTCCACTGTTTTTGTTTATCAATTTGTTTTTTAAGTTCAATAATCGTTGATAATAATAATGAATTCAAATACTCAATTCTAATTATTTTAATTTATAATTGTCATTACAAGGGCACACAATTAACATAATAATAATAATAATACACTTTTACTTTAAATACATACCAGGGTCACTCCAGATTTACTACTTGTGAACTATTTCGTTTTGTGATTTCTCTCAGTTTTCTGTTGCTCTGTGAAAGTAACTTTAAAAATTGTGTAAAAAAAAAACCCAGGAGTGGCAGAAAAAACAGTGCGGGTGGTGCAGGTCGTGTGTAATTAAAAAAAAAGGTGCAGTTAGAGTGAATGTCAGGTTTAAGTTAGAACAATACAGAAAGATAATGATCACTGACTGGTGTTACCTTAAAATTAATAATTAAATTAAATTAAAACCACAATTTCTTTTTTTTTTTTTTTTTTACAAATTAAATACCAGGGTGTGCTGATTCTGAAGTGTCACCTCGGAGATTTAAAGAGGGAGTGCCTAAATAAAAAAAGATGTCTGCCTGCCTGGTGTTGATCTGTCCGTCCTCCCATTCACCTGCATGACATCCCATGTCCATTTGTGCCATTTGTGCCGCTGCTTATCCGTCTGACCGTCGCTGATCACGTGGGTATATTCTCATCTCTGTCATTTCTCCAATCACAGGCTCTGCTCTGGAAAAGAAGGGAGGGAAGGAATTCACTGATGCACTGCAGGAGCTGAAGAAGAAAAATGGCCCTCTGGAGGTGGCCGGGGGTAAGTGCATAAAGTGTAAAAAAAAATTTAGAATTTGCCTTCCATGCTGTATTGGCACATGTTTAGACTTATCTCATAAAAACTGTTTTAGCCTCATTTTCCTGAACCCCTATATATTTGATCAAAATTCTTGGTGACCAGTTTCTCAGCTATTTTATTAATTTATTATATTATTTTTTTATATAATTTTGTATATATATTTATTTATTTAGTGGATGGATCTGGACTTCTCTCATCAATTTTTATTCATCACTCAGTTCTGATGTCAGTGTGCTGTGCAGTTGAAGTTTATATTTCCACAAAGAGGAACATCAATCAATAATGTCCTTGGACTTGTCTGGACATGTCCGAGATCTAAACAGTGCTGCAGCTAATTATTATATTGTTGTATTTTATATTTTTTGGCAGGATTTACTTCCTATTATGTTCACTGTTTTTTTCCCTCTGCCCCCACCAATCAGTCTTCAATCTTTTCACCCCTCAGCTGTGTTGACTACTGGCGTTGGTTTGCCCGCTAAATACATCATCCACTGTAACAGTCCAGGCTGGGGCTCAGACAAATGTGAAGAGTTGCTGGAGAAGACGGTGAAAAACTGCCTGGCTCTGGCTGACGAGAAGAAACTCAAGTCTGTGGCCTTCCCTTCCATTGGCAGTGGAAGGTAGAAAAACATGATCCTAAACAAAAAAACAAAAAAAACCCTGCAGTAAGACAAGTTGTACAACAGCAAAAACTGTAGAAAAATAGAAAAGATTGCAGAGAAATTCCAGTGTTCTGTACACCACTAGGATATTAGTGACAAAGCTTTGGTTATGTTGATACATGAAAAAACATAAACAGTAAAAAAACACAGTTCTTTGACATCAACATTTAAAATGTTTTATTTAAGAGATTTATTATGAGATATTAACTTACTTTAGTGTTTATCCTCCCATGAGTGGATCCTGACCTTCCCAGACCTTTTGCTGCTTCTTATTGGATGTCATAAAGGCAGTCTTCATCTTTTTGTTTGTACGTAATACCGCCACCTACTGGGATTGCTCTGCATCAGAAAATCATTACTAGCTAGAAATGCTCAGTCTACTTGTACAAGAAAGAAAGTAAGAGGAAATACAGACAGGTGGCACTATTTCTAAAGGATAACACCATACATTTTAGTGACCTGTTGAAATTACCTTCAACCTTGTGTCATTTTATGGGAGGTTTTGTTGGCTTTATTTCTTTTAAACACAAATTTTTATCCATTCGCTCTCAGTAATGGCTTCCCGAAGCAGACTGCGGCTCAGCTAATCCTGAAGGCCATATCCAGCTACTTTGTGGCCACCATGTCTTCCACCATCAAGACGGTCTACTTTGTGCTGTTTGACAGCGAGAGCATCGGGATCTATGTGCAAGAAATGGCCAAGCTGGAGACAAGCTAAAACAACACGCGTGGAGAATCTGCCTTTTTTTCCTTCTCACTTCCTGTATTTTTCTGCAAGGAAATAAGAAGGCATATATTTTGATTGGTTTAATATGAGGATTAGAAAGGAAAAAATAGGTGAAACTTTCAAAGGCCGGGAATCTTTTTTGCATTACGTTTTCTAATTTTCTTATATTGGTTTTATTTCCTAACTCCACGTCTGGCCTTTTTGGCATTTAAATGGGAAAGTGCACTGTTTATTTTACAGCGTTTTAAACACAGACAGTGGCAGATTGAAAAAGTTAGAAGTCTCACTTTGAAATTTAATTTTAACTTTCACTATATACAGTATATATAGATATTAATTATCATAGTATTATGAACACCTCGGTTAAAAGGCTTCAAGAGAAGTCAGACAATACGGGTTTAGCGCATGTCTCTGCGGTATGACGTTGACAACAGCTGTCCTCTTGAGCTCAAAAACAAATATCTAGGTTTCATTGTGAAATTTTGGTGTCGTTTTTGCATCATCTCTGTTCATATTACTGTGAATTGAGAAAGAAAAGAGTGAAATAAGAGTTGGATTTGATGAGGGAATCATTGACTTTCGGTTATTGTGCTGGTGTTACGTATTCCTCCTTTCGCCATCCTTTACGCAGGTGTTTTGTCAGTGTGCTGCATAAACCTGAGGTTTACCGATCAAATCATAAAAGAAACAACATTTTATAAACTGACTGCAGTGTAAATATCCATTATTATGTACTTCTGATTCTGGTTCAATCAGTTTTACCCTAGAACCGACACCTGTCGGGGTTTTTTTTTGCAGTAAAAAAAAAAATTAAATAATAATGAAATCTTGAAATTAGTTTTTGGGGAGTTGGTTTTTGCAGAACACTTGGTTTGTATTGTGTGTTCCTATTGATGTTTATAATAGATGGACTTTTTGTGAGTTGTTATAACAGAGTACAGGACTATAAAATAGATTTTTTTTTAAATCTCCACTGACATTCAAAGAAGGCCCAGATGACGTTAAAGAAAAAAAAATTCAGAGATAGATTTTGTGGAGTTTTTGTCTTTGTTAATCCTTAAAGAAATGTATTCATGTTTGATGTTTTTTCTGTTGCCTTTGGTTGTAGCGCTCTTTCATTGCAGCTACCGCTAGATGGCACCCTGTAATCAAGAATTGGATTTTTGACCTCAGCCATTTTCTGTGCAGCAGTGGCCTCATTCAGACGCTGGTCACTTTGAGTTGGATTTGAATTGAGATTGAATGGAGGTTGTGTACAAACGAACTCGACTGCTCTGCTGCATCTGGACTTTTCAACAGTCTGACTTTCTTATTTAAAAAAAAAACAAAAATGTAAAATGCTTTCTAAGGAATTGACAAAAGCTCTGTACACACTCCAGTAATAAAATGCCTAAAAACAAAATTCTGGTAAAAGAAAGGATTATTAGCATGAATTGTTTGGTGATTATGGTCACCCTTCACTTTAATTTTTTAATAATTATTACTCATTCTGTTTATCTTTGTTTTGTTTTTCCTTTTTTTAGCTTAAAGTTAGTTTTTCATGCTAATTTTACATTTCTTTTCAGGCACTAATATATATTTGTATGTTATACTTTATATTCTTTTAACTTTCATACCAAACATTTTGCTAGCCTTCCAGTGTTAACTTGTTTATGCCAATGTATATTTTTCTGTGCTTTAAAAACGGTTGTTGTTGAAATTATTGTCTTTAGTGAGTTCTCTGAAATCTTTTGTCTAGATTTGCAAATGTTTTGCTTTTCGATGCTGATCTTTGGTCACTTTTAAAATATATTTCTCAGCTATTTTGTGCTAACTTTTACCCGTGTTTTACACAACATTAACAGACATAGGTTATTTACAAACAATTATATTTTTTGCGCTTACTTGAAATAATGTTTTGCCTTAATTCCTTGCTTAAAGTTAACCTGTAACTGTTAATTTTTCTTTTCCAGCCTCTGACAAACCAGCAGAGGGCGACATGCTGCATTAAAAAAAAAAAAGAAAGTCACAGTCAAAGCCCACAAATTCTTAACTCAGCCTGCAGCTCTTACATCGTTGTTGAGGCTCAAACTCTTTTTTTGAAAAAAAAAATCCACTGGACAATTGTGATTGTTCTTTTTCTCTTAGGTAAAACCAAATAAAACATTATTATGATTGTTGCGTGGCTCAAAGGATCTGCTCAACAGATCTAGTTCCCATTTCTAGGTTTTGTTCCAAACCACTGTGAATGTTGATGACATTGGCAATTCTCTCTTTTTGTACTAAATATACTAAATATTTTCAGTTGTGTACTAGTGTTTGTTTTACAGAATGGCACTATTTTCAGTAGTAAAAGCCTGGAACATGTAAGCAAACCCCCAGACAAAGGAGACCTTTAAAAATAGCAGCTCTAATGAAAATAGCAATCATGATTGTGTGCAGAGTTTCACTCCAAAACCTTTCCTTTTTTCCTACTTTTTTTAGTCCGGACCAACTCCTGGGGGAAACATCTGTTTTTTTCAGCTCCTAAATCCACTACAGCGTGTTCAGCGGTGACTCATTCTCAGCTTTAGCGTTTGGTGATCAGACACTTGAGGGTCTGGCTGGACGGTGCTGAAACAGCAAAAACAGAGAAGCTGAAAGAATTAGTCGTTATTCTGCAAGAAGTGTGAAATCCAATCTAGGGTTCAGCTAGTCTACATGCTGATGTGTCCCTGGGCAAAGCACTTAGTTTCCCTTGAATGTGTCCGGGACTCATGAGAGAACTAGAACTTTAAACATCCACCCATCTTCTACCATTTAATTCTTTAGAGGCTTGCAAGGGGAACTGGAGCCAATCATAAACAAAGCAAAGACAGGGACAGTTTGCCTGTCCAACACAGGGACATAGAGACAAACATGGTCAATTTAGGGTCACCAATTAATCTCATCTGCACATGTTTTGAAATCAGGAGGAGAACATGCGAACTATCCAGAACGATCAGGATTCAAACCAGCAAACTGATGATGCTCTAGTACTAACTCCTCAAAACACTGGCACTAACCTTTCTGGACAGGAAATAAAACATGTGGACTAGACTAGAACTAAACTCCTTTTTTTTCTTTACTTTTTTGTGCCGGGATTTAAAGGTGTTTTTTAGTGACTTTGATTTTGAGTTGAACCTTTAAATATTAACTTTATATTTTCAGTGAGTTTGACTTCAATGATTTGTACTACAGACAGATGAGAAATGGACTTAAAAACCTCAGACTGAACCTTTGGACTGAAACACGGATGAAGATTTAACCACAGTATCGGCGGGTACAGGTACAAAACTTTGAAAACACCTTGTCCCCTGTCCTGAGTGGAAACCCAGCTGCAGGTTCAGACCCGGCCATCAGACCTGGGCTTACTTTCAGCCTGGGGCTACATGCTGGCAGCAGGGTCCTGTGTGGAGTCAGAGGGGGGTCAGTTTCCCAGCCATCCAGGGAGGCTAGGACCTGAGACCTCCTCTGAGGGTGCCCATCTGACGCCTAATCCCCAGGAAATACAGACAGGTTTTGCCTCCCTCCCTCCCTCCCCCCTCTTCGTCCCACCAACAGCTCTGTGCTTCTCCTTCAAGGCAGAAAAGCCCCATAAATTCAAAGCATCTGTATGGGCAAGGGCCAATCTGAGGGCCGTTGTTCCCAGAGCCCACGCAGATGAAATTTTATTCTTTGCACGAAAATCTTACAGGGGGTCTGGGGGGCAGAAAAAACAGAAAATAGAGTAAAGAAAACAGTGGGGGAAGATGAAGGAGGGGAGAAGACAAGGGCAAGGAGCCGGTCAGCAGAGATCTATCCAGAGTTTGAGTTTGTTCATAATAACACAGTCATGAAGTCTGACAACAATCACAATCACAGTCACTGTTGTTGCAGAATAAGTGTAGTTATTGCTTTAACTCAAGGGTCCTACGCTCTGAGTAGAAGTAGTAGTAATGATAATAGTAGTAGTAGTATTTTTCTTATATTAGGGGAGAGAATTTGTTTTGAATACTCAGTATACTATTATATGTATATGAATACTGCAGATGATCTAATACACAAACTCCATTAAAGCTAAGTGTATATTGTGGTACTGGCACACTGACACATTAATCAGATTATGTATTAACATCTACGGTAAGTCACACAATCAGAGCCATACAAATGTGACTGCAGTTCTGAACTAGACTCATCTAGACACATGATTAATGATACTAATGACTCATCTCTGCATTGAAACATAGCACAGTCATTTTACTGCCAATATCTTTTTTTTTAATTCTCACACATCTTTTAGCAGTATTTGTGTAGCCAGAAGTCAGAAAAACGGGACAAATGACCCGAAGTAAACTGTAGTGGAATAAATGTTAAGAATCCACTACATCCTACTTTAGCACTGACTGTTGGCTCTGGGTTTAAGGTATACTGACTAATGCTGAATAATCCAATGAGAATTCCTAGAGAGACTGGACTGGCATTTCGACAGGTTACTAAAAAGAAGGCAGGGCTTGACTCCTGCTGTGAGCCTGTGTCCCTTAATCCCATGATTCACGGCCGTTAAACGAGGCTGACGAGAGGATGATCAAACCTCTGGCAAACACGGCGTTGACTGTGCCATCATACGCACTCGGTCACCTCTTGTCCCCCGATCTGTACCAACCCTGGGGCGTGAGTTCCTCAGACGAGGACTCTGCTGTTCTCCTGCCACCTCCAAAGGGTTAAGTCCAACCTCAGACTCACCAAATCACACTGTTGGGCCATTTAGAGCAGGAAACCTGATAGTTTGGTTCCTTTTGATGGCCTGATTCCTAGGCTTAGGAGAATAAATTAAACGCAATCCCCACCGAGGCCTCAGCTGCCGCGGAAGGGCACACTGATTTAGCTTTCTCATCTGGGGAGCTTTACTCTCTCTTCCTGCTCTGCTCTTCCACATCCCCCATCCGTCCACCACTTCGGCTCCACACAGCAGAACAGTGAATATATATATATTTTTTTGTTTCAATAGAATAATGAAGTCCAGGAACAAATGTCAGTCACTGTGAACAACCTGAGACTGAGATGTGGGATGTTAGGATGAAGATGGAGACGTACCAACCTGTGGCTCAAGAGTCGGGGAGATTGAAATGGTCCAGCGTTGATCCCTGACGCCTGGTCACAGTCCTGGGGCTTTAGCAGAGCCACCGGTCTTATAGCAGAGAGGAGAACAACAAGGTAGTAATATGTGTTTAGACTTCTGATCTGAGAGGCAGTAACTGTGGCTCATACGGATGGTGGTGGTGAGGACAGAAAGTAGTCCTCTATGTCGATGGTTCCCAACTTGACTTTGAGCCACATAATTCACATTAGAAAAGTTCCACCAAACAAATATGTCACGTAAGTACTGTATGTGTAATAGAATACAATGATCTTCTAGTTTCATTTTACTCACCCGTGCCTGTTTAGTTTTAGTTTTCCGGGCAATAAGTTGCACCTGAGCATAAGTCGCACCAGCCAAAGGATGAAAAGAGTGCAACTTACAGTTTAGTAGCAGATACTGGTACACAAGCCTAGAGTGCCCTCTAGTGGCTGTCAGTGTAAAAATAACAAAAATGTGAAATGACATATTTTAATATATAAGTCACACCTGAGTATTAGTCGCAAACCCAGCCAAAGGATGAAAAAAGTGTGACTTTTAGTTCACAAAATACCGTGACAACTACTACTACTACTACTAGTAGTATTTGTTGAAGTACCAGGTGTTTAACTAAAAACAATAGATTTGAGTTTTTCTTCCACTACTGGGAAGTTCACACATTTTTCTGCTGTAACAGATTGGATAATGAAAATGTCTGTGTCCCACTTTGGAGCTGAATTGCATAACGGACATCGAGAGACAAAACAGGACGTGGCTTTTTCTCCTCTGACATCAGGACAGCAGGGTCAGCTGAGGCCTCACTGCAGCGTTGTAAATTGCTTTTATTGGCCTTGCCAGGGTCTCAGGGTTGTGCCGAGGTTACTCAAGACACAAACACACATATATTCACACTAGATATACGCACACAAGAGCTTTGCCATTTGTTATACACACACACACACACACATGTAGAGGCCGAGTCTCTTTGTCAGCAGGGTTAATCTGTGGACCAGATCAAAGGGTCAGGTCCAGAGATAAACTCCGGCCCTGGAGGGTCCAGCCCTCCTCTCTCTGTATTCCTACAAATCATTAAGCTGGAGGTGGTTGGCAGCAGCTCACTTGGTAGTCCCTGAGGATCGTGGGCCAGATAGAGTGGGATTTGTCCGAGCTGCGGCTGTCGACCTCTGACGCTCAGCTTTGAGCTTCTGCATGCTCTGAAGCAGACGTGAGAGCCACTCAAGACACCCCCAAGATAAAAGAGCCCCCGACAGGACGAGATCTGTGAAAACACACCAGCATGCAAATCA